TAACTAAATAGATACTTTACTAATTATTAATAGCTAAACTTTTACTATATCTTTAAAGAAGGCTAAGACTCTATAAAAGGCTATACTAAACTACTTTTTAGTAAAAGATAATCTTTCTAAGCCTTTACCTTTTATAGATAAGTTATCTAATAAGTATTTACTCTAGAATACTTATATTTTAATAGAAAAAGTTAAAAAGAGTATAATTAGCGTCTCTAGTACCTTCTCTAGGCCTAATAAAATTACTATTTAATTACTTAAAGTATACTAGTTATATATTAAGTACTTTATATACACTATTTACTAAGAATATTTTACTAAAGCTTATTATAGAGATATATAAAGTAATGTAAAAATAGCTATAATTCTAAAGATTAGAAAGAAAGATAAGTTTTCTTTCTACTTAATAAAACTTATTACTTTTATATTATATATAAGTAAAAGTCTTAACTAAATTATTATAAAGTAGATAGTTTATATTACTATAGCGTATAATATTCTTAGCTTATAGTATAGAAGTACGCTATCTAAGCGCTTAGCTATAAACTTAGTTACTTCTTTTATCTATAATATAGAAATAGCCTAGTCTAGATATAAGTATATATTTATAGCTACTATAGATATTTAAGAAGTATTTAATATACTACTTAAGAATTAGTTTCTTTAATAACTTAAAGAGTAGAGCTAGCCTTTAATTCTTAGAAAGCTTATTTAAAAATTTTTATTTAATAAAACTATTTATATAAGACTAGAAAACGCTACTACTCTAGTCTACTTTATACACTATAAAATACTCTAAGAATTACTACTATTACTAGTTTTATATACTTTCTATCTAGCTAAACTTTTAAACTAAAACTAATAATTACACTTTAAGTATACTAATAATATCTATATTTATAGAACTACTTATTCTTTAGATAAGAGTACTATATTACTAGCTTTTAATTTAAAGTCTATTAATAAATAAAGAGTAGTAAATAAAATTATATTTACTCTTAAAAAGACTAAGCTAATTTACCTAATAAGAAAATAAAGCCTACTTTCTTTCTCTATCTAGCTTAATAATTAAGAAATTTATACTATCTCTTTTAAGGTAAATAGTAGCTAGGCTACTTTTTACTAGCTAGAGGTTTAGTTTAATAAAAAGCTAACCTTTAAAACTTATATTACTAAATAAGTAGTAGTTACTTAAAAGATTTTCTACTACCTTTAAAGTTTTATAAATACTACTTATAGTCTATCTACTATATTTCTTTATAAAGTAGTTATAATTTATATTATACTATTATTATTTTATAAAGCTAAAGCGTAGTATAAAGAAAGAATAAAGAACTTATAAATTATTAGAGCTTCTTAAGAGCTTATAGTTAGTATTTATATTAGATAGTATTTAGCTATAATAAACTACACTATAATAACTACTATAAAAGCTATACTACTAGTATAGTAAACTATACTAAACGCTATTATACTAAGAGAAGCTACTATACTATTTATAGTAGTAGCTCTAGAAGAGATTAAGCTCTAATAATTAGTATACCTACTAAGTATAAATAGTTTCTATTTACTAGTAAATAAAATTATACTACTTTTTATTTAATAGAGTAGAGGCGCTAAAAGTTACTAACGCTTTTAATCTAAAGTCTAATAAATAGTTTAGCTTCTACTTACTATCTCTAGACTAATCTTAACTAATATTTAATATTTCTTACTAAGCTTATAAGAAAACTCTACTTTTAGCTAAGCTAAAACTAAAGCTATAGCTACTTTTATAGTATAGTAGAAAGCTCTTAGCTTAATAATAGTAACTATCTTCTTAGATAGCTCTAAGTAATAAATTAAAAGTTAAAAGACTATAACTTATAGATACGCTATTTACTAAGACTAAACTAAATTAATAACTAGCTAGAGCTTATTATATTCTTTTTTTTATATATTTAATATAGAAGTAATAGAGGCTTATAAAAGTTTTAAATATATAGTTTTTCTTACTCTACTTAGCTACTAGAAGATTATACTCTATATTAATAGTACTTTTATTATTTAGAGTATTTAAGAATAAGTACTAGTATTATTTTAATAGGCTTTCTTATAAATATATAGTATTATAAATACTTATAATATATAAGTATAGTAAGTACTTAGATATACTAGTATCTTTAAAAATAAACTAGTAGACTAAATAGTAAATAATAAGACTAAAGACTTATATTTACTATTTAGTTAAGCTAATAACTCTATATACTTAGGTATTAAATTAATTAGTTAGAGTCTACTAGAATAAGTCTACTAATACTAGTAAAATACTAAAAGAGATAAACTATTTACTTAGTACTTATAATAGTAACTATCTTACGCTACTAGATAGCTACTAACTATACTAACTTTACTTTAGTACGTACTAGCTAAAGCTTTAATAATTTACTCTAAGTATAAAGACTTTACTTAGTATTACTAAAAATTTAACTATAAAGATATAACTTTAAAATATATTTATAGTAGAGCTAAAACTTCTAAATATATTATTTTTTATAAAAGAATGTAAGTAAAATTTTAACTTTAGTCTTTTTAACTAGATATTTTCTTTAGTATATAAAATAAAAAGCTTAAGTACTTTAAAGAATTAATAAGCTAGCCTAATAAATTTATATTCTTTATTAAAGTAATAAACTACTATAGTAGTATAATTATACTATAAATTTACTTAAATTTTACTAGAACTTACTAAATTTCTTAGTATTTTTTAGTAAAGTACTAGTAGCCTAAAAGCTACTATTACTTACTTTTATTTACTATTTTCTTATTATTTTATATTTATATTTACTATTTTTTATTTATTTTTATTTAATATAGTAGTAAGCTACTTTAATACTACTAAAAGGTAGTATTACTACTAAATATAATAAGTATAAGAGGTACTTAAAAGCCTTTCTCTTCTTTTTAATATATATATATACTCTAGAATAGGCTTATAAAGTAGTATATAACTACTATAACTTCTTAGTAGTACTTACTAAAATACTTTTTAGAAGGTTATAATATTAGCGTTAAACTAATATTAATTAATTAATTAATGTTTCTGTGACTAGTGTTCAAATTAGAGATGCCCGCACGTGCGCAAGGCGCGCTACCGGCTGGTTTCGGTAAGCGCGTCATGCCCAGCCATCCATTCAGCCACGGGTCAACCATCCATCTGGCTCTTCACCCTCTTCACTGAACTTGCAGGTTCACACGAGATATAACAACGGTTTATCATCGCTAACTATGCGTCGCTGACCCGCCAGACAAGACGCTCCATGCTCGCTTCTTTGCGCCTCAGCATGTCCATCGCCTTCTGCGCCCTCTCCAGCAGCGTCGCGCCCTCAACGATGCGTTGCTTTTGCGGAGTCACAACACCATTCTTCAACAAAGTTGGCATGATGTCGGGCTGAAGATGATATTTGAAGAACTCATTCTGTGGAGTGTTAGCTGCGTTTCTTTGACAAGAAATCGGTAAAACTCACGTCTTGATAGAAATGTGTACGCACGCCTCTCACATCGACCCCGTCATTCCACTTGGCCACTTTGCCCACATCCATCTCATACTCTGGATCCTCAGTTTCGGTCGAGTCGCGCACGACCACGGGTAGTAGTATGGCGACCTTGGAACCCTTCTTCGCCAGTTTGGCGATGGGTGCGATGCTACCCTGGAGGCTGCCGATGCAGTCATAGACCAGTGGAACTCCGCGGTCACCACCAGACTTCAGGATAGACTCAACGACATCTGGATTGTTATAATCAAACACCTTGTGCGCGCCAAGGATGCGTAGCTTTTCGTGGTGTTTCTGAGACGCTGTCGCCAGAATGTTCTTGTAACCGTAGTAGCGCAGAATCTGGATGGCGAATTGACCCACTGACGAGGAGCCACCCCAGACCAATATCGCGGAGTCGGCATCGTCAGGCACGTAATACTCAGGTTTCGGCCAGGGTATTTTGAGGCCCAGGTCTGTCGTGAGAGAGTGGAATACGGTTACGAAGTTATTCGGAAGCGTTACAGCCTCCATTGGAGTGAAGCCTTCAGGTAACTAAAATACTTTAGCATTCCGATGACAGATGAGCAAAATGCAGTGTAGCTTACCTTGGCCAGAAGCCATTCGTCTGTAGTGCAGAATTCCTGATAGGCCTTTTGAGCTTGGGTCTTCCAGGTAAAGCCGAACACCTTGTCTCCAATCCTCAGTCTCTTGGTTCCCGCTCCTACTTCGACCACGGTACCAGCGACACTGTCACCAAGGACCTGAGGGTGCTTTACGAGTAAAGCCCCGTCGTTTTGGTGCAGATCCAAGGGCGTAGAAGCAGTCCACTCAACACGAAGGCGGACCTGCTGCGCTTCCGGAATTGTAGTGGGAACTTGGATGATCTCAAGAGGCGCCTTCTTAGCCACTGTTGCGACGGCGGAGTGGGTAGACATGGTGAGCTGATGACAAGTCCTGACTTTGAACTGAATGTAGAAGATTGTCAACGAAGGTTGAAAAGGAGACACGGCTATTCTGCTCAATGCAATTCTGCAGTTCCTACCCCTACTTATACTTTCTCAATGTTCTCTTCCGCATCCTGAGTATTACAAATGCTAGTCGCATCTACAGACGCTAGCAAATATTTCCAAATTGGGGTTAGTTCCCATTCTTCGGCGAGATCGCACCAATCACGACAAAGGAGGAAGAGACGAATCACAACACGAACAAGTGATGCTGTAATCCGAAGTTCTGGTGGATGGAAATGGATGATATTACTTTGTCTGGTCCATAGTTCCAGTTCATTGGTACGCGGCGTTGTTGGGTATGTTCAGCAACCATGGTACACACCTCGCTTCCGCAACATGAACTTCGTCCAGCACTTCATCAAGTCCAACTATATAAACTGGTCTCTCTCTCCTTAAAGAGATCTTTCATACTTCCCAACTCAAATAACCATACTAAAGAGGTTCAGCCACAGAAATCACCACCGCCATACTAGCCATCATGAAGTACTTCACACCACATCTTCCCACCGAAAGCCACGCCCACATTCTGCCGACTAAAGCCCATAACAACATCTCAACTGGGCTTCAAGGACCTACAGGCACCTCTAACCGCTCCTCTCGCCAAACACCCACCAAGGAAAGCGACAACGCATACATCAAGCGCATCGAAGAGAATACCGCCAGAGATGCTGGTGAAATAAGCCACAAGCACGACTGCCTTGATCAAGCAATCTGGACACGCGTGAAGAAGCTAGCGAAGAAGACATCGCACTGCCTCCAAAAGGAACCGGATACCGCTAAGCAAGCGAAGAAGCCAAAGCAAAGTGCTCCCGCATATGGCGAATACTCCATACCCTACATTTTCAGTTAGACTGAAATTCCGTTCATATCCTACGCTTGAAATGTCATTCGTTACCGAACGCCACATACTACCACGCCCTATTTGATCCTGGAGATACAACCATTCGGGCTTAGCGTGCGGTATTTCTCTACAACCATAACGCAACTGCCAACTGGAAAGGAATTGGTGGATGCCGTCTTTGAGGGATATATTGGTCATGAACTGGAGAGCCCCTCTGGTTCTTGTTTGCATTTTGGATTCGCGCTCGACTTTCGTGTGTTGCTGTTTTCGTGTTCTAGGGACCAATTGCTTGGGTATGGGCTCGCCGTGTCAGCACCCTCACGGCAGTCATGGATCTACTTACCATGGTTTCGGCGAAGAAGAAGAGTCTGGTAGCGATGGTGCTGTTGTATCATCGAAAGCCGACGAAATCTCCGCTCGCAGTGAAGTGCCCAGCCACTTTTGCAACGCACACAAGTCATCACGACAAAGGAGAAGAGCGACGCGAGAACACCTTTACGCTGATCAAGCGACACAAACGCCTGAGTCTCATTCGAAGACGCCACACATGTGTTCAACACTCACGCCGTCAACTTACTCAACATCGCCATCCACTATCGCAACCACCTTGAACACCACCCATGTCGAACACGGCACGCCTTACAAAACCCAAAAGCCAAAGCCGACTGAGCCATACAGCCGACTGAATTCGTTCAAGTCATGGACCCATACCGACAGCGTCATCGAACTACACACCTTCATGCCCGCGCATTCGAGTCGCTACCCACCCGGCATCGTGGTCATCAAAAGACTCGACGAACAAGGCAACGAAGTAGTCGAGTTGACGGATCTGACGCATCAGATTACACCGTTCGCCGATCTGAACTCTACAGCAACTGTAGTGATCGAGCAAACTGGTGTTGTGCAAAGCACAAAACGAGTGGGTTTGATGGAGAGGGCCTGGGAGAGGGTAGCCAATGCATTGGCGAAGGATGATGAATAACGTGGTGAATTTGTGAAGCATGGTATCGAAAACGCGTTTATTGTGCTGCTTTTAGGATAATAGTAGGATCTCTAGAGACAATTCCACCATTGATAACCCGTCCACTCATTCTCCTGCCAACCGTCCGTCTCCACTCACGCTGATGTGATACGAAGCCTGCGCACCTAATCGTGCATCTCCAGCACAACTCCGTGTGGACCTCCATCGTTGGCACCATAGTTCAGCTCAAACCAGTAGAGCTCCAAGTCTCTCTTGCTAGCCGGATGAATGACGAATTGCGCGGCCTTCTTCATGGGACATTCGAACCATTTGCTGACTACCTCGGATGCGCCGTTCGCCGTCAGCGTGTAGGCATCGTAGTGTTCAGTGATGGCGGGCTTGTTGTTCCAGGTACTGCGGCCGTTGACGAGCTTGGCTTCGATGCGAGAGATGCTGATAGCCATGGGTGCTTCGCCCTTGAGGGTAAGTGGAGCGTTTTTGAAGGGGTCGACATTGATGAGAAAGCGCAGGCGGCAGATCTTGACGTTGTCAATCTGGGGGACGTCGAAGTTGATTGCTGTCCATTGTTCGGTGTCTGTCTTGTTCTGACCCATGGGTTAGTAGCTGGCAAGCTCATGATGTAGGTTTTGTGGACACTTACATTGCGGCTGACGGTCGCGTCATCCTGGGTATAGAAAGCGGTGTCCGGCTGGGAGCTTTTCATGGGCAGAAGCAATGTCGGGAACTTGGTTTCGACCAGGTCAGCAAAGGCGGGAAGGCCGAAGAGGACGGGAAGGAGAGCGAAGATGCGCATTTTGATGTTTGAAGGGTCGATGATTGGGTGGAAGATGCTGATGTGTGGAAGCTGAAGCTGTGGATGCTGAAGTAGTGATGCTTCAGTGATGCTCTTATACGTGAGGAAGAAGTGCAGTGGTAGTGAGGTGGGGACGCTTGGGCGATGCTGGCTAACAAGCTAACATGACGGCTGTGCCGTCCTTGCAGACTTTCTTGTGCGAGGCAAGTGACAGTCTACCAGCAGCTAGGAAGTCGCATTGGCTGTGCCTGGGGAAGTCGCGGTCTGCACCACACCGAGCAGTACCAAAACAAGATCCACCCAAGAAGGCAAGAGCGACTCCAAGACCAAGTGGCACGATTACGTGGTCGTATTGCTCGACAAGGCAGCGATGAATCCACTTTTGGAAACAGTACAAAGTACGACGAAGCTGTCATTCGCGTGTCGGCAAGGCACGCTGGTATTGGCGACCGAGACGTGGGTATTGTCGGGGTACCAGACGGGTAGCTACAGCAATTGATCGATCGCATTTGGTGGGTTGCTAAAGATGCTGTCTTGGGCGGATTTCTCGGCTTCTCCAAATGGGCAAGCTTGTTTCTGCCAACGGTGAAGACGTCTATGAGCACTTGAGGGCTGTCAGCGACTAGGCCCGACAAGCGCCATGTTGGGGTAGCTATGCAGATCTGTATTCTCACACCACTTCCTCTGAGTATCATATTAAGCTGTCCTACCTGAATCCGCATTCTAGTAGTAATAGAGGATGAATATGACGCAGAAGCGCGTGATGTGGGCGTGAGTGATGGTAATGCAGCTCTTTAGTCTGTTCACACCGCTCTATCACGGCGCACGATGCTGTTCGAAGTGTATTGGCTTGTGGTTTTAATAGATCATTCTAGAGTATTGCATTCGTGTGGTCAATTATTGCCGGTGTTCCCACCTGGGCAGGCTCCGGGCGGGGAAGGTATCACGAAACCATGATATGATTCCATCCAGTAGGTTCGTCTGAAAGACATTCGCTCGTTCCTGGATATAGTGCCAAAGCAAACCACCGACCTAGCATTGGTGGTGTGCTACCAACCTACAGCCATTCGCAGACTAAGCTTTCGGCGCGGAGCTATTGCGAAGGTCAACTACTCTAAACGCGTGAGATGCGGTAGGACGGTAACGTGGGACAAAGGCGGGGTCGATGGTGAGAGTACTCAGAGACAGAGAGTCGCTCCTGGAAGCCTCCTGATGCTCTTCAAAGTACTTGGGGATGGGACAATCCGGGGATAGCGCGGCTTTAGAGCCTCGGCAAGTGGGGTTGTCGTCATCGCGATGGCTGCAGCACCTAAACCTCAGCATCCCACCACGCGTTGACCCTACGCGTCGTTGTCTTACCAACTCAATGTCCCCTTCGGGCCTGCTAGAATGGCTTTCAGCTGGCGAACGCGACCCGCCTTGAAGCTTGGTGCTGCTGGACGCCCCTCGGTCCGTGCCCGAGCTGTGCCCTTCCGACGAAACCTCTACCTCGCGCCGCCTTACCTACTGGACGACTATATACCGCGCTATCAGCTGCTCTCCTCAGTGGAAGCCGCCAAGAAGCGATCACTGGCGTATGCTCACCTGCGCGAATGCAATCTCTGCCCCCGATTGTGCGGTGTCAACCGTTACGAGACGACAGGCACGTGTCTGATAGGAGCCGAGACTGTCAAAGTCAATACTATCGCTCCTCACTTCGGTGGTAGGTTAAACCTTGGTAGCTGATATCTTCAGGGCGTGCTCATGCTGACACCGACCAGAAGAGCCCTGTTTCCAGGGACACAATGGTAGCGGGTCCGTCTTCTTCTCTGGGTGCAACCTGAGATGCGTGTTCTGCCAGGTATGCTGCCCTGTCCTTCGTCGTAGCATGCGCACTAACGCCGTGTCCAGAACCACGATATAGCCCACCAGCGCAATGGCTTCGATCTGACACCAGAGCAACTCGCCGAGTGGTTCATGAAGCTGCAGGACGTGGGCCGCGTCCACAACATCAACCTCGTTACACCCGAACATGTCGTACCCCAGGTCTGCCTATCGATTCTGCACGCGCGCGATCTCGGTCTCCATATACCCATCATTTACAACACGTCGTCGTTCGACTCGCTCGAGAGCATACACTTGATGGATGGCCTGGTGGACATTTACCTCCCGGACTTCAAGGTGTGGCGTGACGCGACGAGCCGTCGGTTGCTCAAGGCGGACGGATACACAAAGGTGGCTATGGAGAGTATCAAGGCCATGCACGAGCAAGTGGGTGATCTTTGCTTCACTCCTGATGGCATCGCAAAGAAGGGAGTGCTGGTACGACACCTGGTGATGCCCGGCATGGAGGACGAAGGACGAGAGATCGTGAAGTGGCTCGCCGAGAACGTGAGCAAAGACATCATGGTGCACATTATGGAGCAGTATTTTCCAAGAGCTCATGTAGGCAAGGAGCGGCGCGGCCGTGCAAGCCAGGGCGTTGTTGAGCCAGGCGGTGTTGAAGTCTCACCTTCGGCTAAGAAAGACGTGCGATATAGTGAGATAAATCGCGCTGTAGACCTGGACGAAGTCGCATCAGTCAAAAAAGCAGCCCAAGAAGCTGGCTTGTGGAGGTTCGTCGAAGCATCGAGGCATGGCGGCTTTAACATCTGACGACGCCTGGTGCTACTTACAATATGCGGGTTCCGGAGAAGGCGTGACCAGGACCCATCCACTCGCGCCTGCTCTTCGTAGGTTGCGCTTGCTCTAAACATCACTCAGGCACCTACTCGTCTGTAGCCGAGCCAACAGTCACATCCACCCCGTCACTTTGGACACCACCACAAACATATTGATTCGTGCATTACTACGATGCCGCCAATCAGCATGGAACAAATCTCCGAAATCGAACGCATCGTCCATGACCTCAAGGTCGACCGAGATACCTGGCAGGCTGTGGCGCTCCAATACAAAGCGGCCTTCGAAGCTCAGACATCCCGTCTACACGAGCTGCAAAACGTGTGCTTTGCTACGCAAGCCGAGCTGGAAAATGAGCGAGCTCAACAACAACGTCTCCAGACAATCTCTGGCGAGCGCGAGAACCACCGTCCTGCTACCTTCGACGGTACTGAGGACCTTCACGTCAATTTCACTTTTGGTACCGCTACTGTATGCTTACCGAAAGAGATCGAGCCAACTCACCTGCGACGGCCCTCCGAAGATTGCACCCACCCCTTGTTCAAGCGCGCACAAGAGTGTACCGCTCAGCGTAAC